ATGAGGTCTCGCCAAGTTGCCCAGGTGGGTCTCGAACCCACGGGCTCAGGCAATCCACTCACCTCGGCCTTCCAAAGCGCGGGATTACAGGCTGAGCCACCGATCCCAGCCATCCCCACCAAATTTTACCCAAATCACACATCTTATGCTTTGAAGATGATCCTGATCGCCCCGTCACACTGTGACCTGCTGACATGCTTCAACGTGCATTTTATGTCCTGTGACCACAGGCTCTGAGTGTTAACACATTCTTTTTTTGAAGTCAGAGTCTTGCTCTGTCGCCCAGGCTGGAGTGCCATGGTACATTCACGGCCACATCAGCGTCGCCCTGCTGGGCTCAGATGATCCTTCTGCCTCAGCCTTCCAAGTAGCTGAACCATAGGCGTGCACTACCACACCCAGCTAATTTTTTTATGTATTGTGGAGATGAAGTCTCAACAAGTTGCCCAGGTTGGTATCAAACTTCTGATCCTCTCGCCTCAGCCTCCCAGAGTGCGGTGATTACAGGCTTGAGTCACCATACCAGGAAACACGTTCTTTTTGAATAGAGATGTCATCAAGGTTATTATTAGTACTCAATTAGTCAAAAAACGCAAATGTTGTCTAGGTGCTGTGGCTCAGTCTGTAATCCCAGCACTTTGGGAGGCCGAGGCGAGAGGATTGCCTGATCCCAGGGGTTTGAGACCAGCCTGGGCAACTTGGTGAGACCTTGTCTGTACAATAAATCACAAAAAAACTCGCCGGGTGTGATGTCATGCATCTGTAGCTCTGGTTACTTGGAAGGCTGAGGCGGAAGGATTGCCTAAGCCCAGCAGGTCGACACTGGGGTGGCTGTGAGTGTGCCACTGCACTCCAGCCTGAGTGATGGAGTGAGACTCCAACTCAAACAAAAAACAAACCACAAGTGAAGTTTACTGGGACTGTTTTAGGGGTGGCGGAGTTGCTGCTTCCTGGGGGTTCCAGCGTTATGGGGATACGGCAGTGCCGGAGTGACCGAACTGGCCTCTTGCTTCTGGGCACTCTGAGCCTCCCCCTGGTCTTCCAGTGTGGCCTCCCTCTGCCACCCACGAGTTCCTCCTTTGGCCTCTGGCCATCGGGGCAGTACCACGAAGGCCCTTCTGAGACTCGTCCGAGGCTGTCATTGCTACGACCTGGAGACATGGGTCACCCGAGGTCTTGGGAGAGCTGGGGCATCACTTACACACCTCACCAGCACCACAGTTGCTGAAAGACGTTTTCATCTCAGCATGCCCCGAAGTGCTTCCTTCCCTTGACACCACCGAGGAAGGCCTGCTCCTCCCAGGCATGCGCCACACTGTCCAGCTCACCTTGGAGGCTGTCACTCTTTCTGGTCAAGACACGCCTGGCCGCACTTCAGAGAGCAGGGGCCAGCTCCCCTTCTCAGCCACATGGGTGGGTGGCCAATGCTCCCTGGAGCCACTCTGGCAGGAGTTCCGAGGCAGACGGATCCCAGGGTGCTGCTGGGGAGTCGGCTGGGCAGAGCAGGCCCCGCAGGCAGCTCCAGGCCCTGGGGTTCCCAGAGCATCACTCTCCAGCTGAGCTGAGCAGGCAGGCCAGGCCTGGGGCACTGGTGGCAGTGGGGTATGCGCTGCCCCATCTAGGGCTATGTAGTACCTGGTCGAGTGAGGAGGTTCCCCTCTTTTGTTCTCTGGACAATTTGGGTAAGACAATCAGTATGATTGTTATTTATTTATTTATGTATTTATTCTTGAGTCGAAGTTTTACTCTGTCACCCAGACTGGAGTGTAGTGGCACACTCACGGCCACCCCAGTGTCGACCCGCTGGGCTCTGGTGATCCTTCTGCCTCAGCCTTCCAAGTAGCTGGAACTACAGGTGTGCACTACCATGCCTGGCTAATTTTTGATTTTTATTGTAGAGATGAGGTCTCGCCAAGTTGCCAGGGCTGATCTTGAACCCGCGGGCTCAGGCAATCCACTCACCTCAGCCTCCCAAAGTGCTGGGATTACAGGCTGAGCCATCGAGCCTGGCCGATTATTTTTTGAAAGGAAGATTTATTGACAGGACAGAAAATCTCCCACAGTGGGAGGGGACCCCAGGGGCTGCCCTATTATTATTTTAATGCTTGGAAGAATTCATCGGTGAAAAACCAGCTGGATTTTTCTTTGTGGGAAGCTTTTACATTTTGGATTACACTTCCTTAATAATTGCTCGACTATTCAGATTTTCTGTATTTTTCTTGTGTGAGTTTTGTTCAGTTTGAGAAATTTGTCCATTTCATCCAAACTGTTGAATGCACCAGTGTGATACTGCTCCCACTGTTCACTTATTTTCGTGACATTTGTAGGTTCCCTAGTGACGATCTCTTTGCACTCCTGTATTGATGATTGGGTTCTCTCTCTTTATCTCTTTTTTTTCTTTGAGTCAGTCTCACTCTGTCACCCAGGCTAGAGTGCAGTGGCATACTCACGGCCACCACAGCCTCGATCTGATGGACTCAGGCGATCCTTCCTCTCAGTCTTCCAAGTAGTTGGAACTACAGGCGCGTGCCACCACACCTGGCTAATGTTTTGATTTATTATAGAGATAGGGTCTTGCCAAGTTGTCCAGGCTGGTCTTGAATCCCTGGGATCAGACAATACTCTCACCTTGGCCTCCCAAAGTGTTAAGATTACAGGCATGAGCCACCGCACCTGGCCTGGTTTTCTGTCTCTAACTTTTTTTCTTTGAGTCGGGGTCTCACTCTGTTGCCCAGGTTGGAGTGCAGTGGCATAATTACAGTTCACTACAGTCTTGATCTCCTGGGTTCAAGTGGTTCTTTCACTTCAGTCTCCTGAATAACTGAGACTACAGGGTGTGCACCACCACATCTAGCTAATATTTTGACTTTTTTGTAGAGATGAAGTCTTGCTGTGTTGCTAGGCTGGTCTTGAACTCCTGGGCTCAAGTGATCCTCTTGCCTCAACCTCCCAAAGTGCTACAATTACAGGCATCAGCCACCATACCTGGTCTCTCTTGTTTTTTGTTTTTTTTTGAGCTGGAGTCTCACTCTGTCGCCCAGACTGGAGTGCAGTGGCTGCTCCCAGCCACCGCAGCCTCGACCTGCTGGGCTCTGGCGATCCTTTCGCCTCAGCCTTCCAAGTAGCTGGAACTACAGGCGCGCGCTACCAGCCTGGCTAATTTTTTGATTTATTATAGAGATGAGGTCTCGCCAAGTTGCCCAGGCAGGCCTTGAACTCGCGGGCTCAGGCAATCCACTCACCTCAGCCTCCCAAAGTGCGGGATTACAGGCTGAGCCACCGAGCCCGGCTACCTGGTCTCTCTTTTTGTCTCAATTGCTCTTGCCAGGAGTAATGATTCTGTTAATTTTTTGGTCTTTCTCTGTTGGATATTGGATACCTATTTCACTGATTGCCACACTTGCCTTCACTGTGTCTTTCTTTCTGCTTTCAGTGGGATTAATTTCCTGGGTTCTTTTCCTAAGGATTGAAGATTAGATTGTTGAGTTTCCAACGTTCTCCTAATACACACATTTAGAGCTAGAAGCTTCCCAGGAAGTGCTGCTGTGGTTGTTCACGTCACTCAAACCTGCTAAATCCACAGTGGGGGGGGGGCGCATGAGCTGGTCATCTGAGTCTTCAGATTATCTGGGAACAGAAGGGAGGCGTTGAGCAGAAGAGGCAGTGGAGGCAGCGGAGGCCGGGTGTCTTAGCCTACCAGGCGCAGGGAACTGAGCGGGGCTCAATTCCCTGCAGCTAGGAAGGCTGCCTCGACTGGGCTCTGAGAGTTCTCCGTGCAGATGAGCCGTGGATGAGCCACCGCAGAGCGAGTTGCCGGGAGACAAGAACGACAGGAGCAGGACGGCACGCGCACGGATGCCAGGAGACGTGCCAGGGGCTCCAGTCCTGACAGGCCACCAGGCCAAAGAACTCAGCAGTGAGGCAACAGCACAGGTCACAGCCATGAGACTCTGGTCATGGACAGAGGGACAGCCATTGCAGGGAGCCGGAGGGAGAGATGGCCAGGCGTTACCTGCCATGGGAGGGCCCTGCACCACTTCTGGAGGGGTCTCGTTGAAAATCCAAGCGGGACTCTGACTCGCCTGCAGATCCAGCCACCAGATGGTCCAAGACGCAGAGCAGGAAACATGGTCCCTGGCACCCAAGGGCGCTGTCAGCAAGATCTCATCTGGGAAACGCTGCAGAACGAACCCACTTGGTTTCCTCAATAAATGCATCTCAAGGAATCAAAGAGATGGAGGGATCAGCCAGGGCAACAGAGCAAGAACTTGACTCTGCAAACACTCAGCTGGTTGTGTTGGTGCGTGCCTTTCATTCCAGCTACTCAGGAGGCTGAGGCAGGAGGAGGGCCTGAGCGTTGGAGGTGGAGGCTGTGGTGACTCGTGACCATATCACTGTACTCTGTCTTGGGTGACAGAGTGAGATCCGACTCAAAACCAAAAAACAAACAAGCAAAAGACCCAAAGAGACGGAGAGAGCCCCAGAAGGGTGCATCCTGTGTGTGGCCTGTCGATTCTGATGGAGGTCAGAAGGAGCCCGGCAGAACTGGAGTTTTTCCAACAGTCCATGTCTGGCGCCTTAACGACAGTCTGCACGGCTGTGACACCAGCTGCAAAGTAGGAGCACACTGGACGTATAGGGGATAAACTGCGTGACACTGCTTAGGGGTAGATGCAGAGATGGGTCGCCACACGCCTAGTCCATTAAGGACAACAGAGCTTCGTCGCGAGTAAGACTGTTTGCTCCACAAAAGACATGGAGGGAACAAAAAGACAAGCTGCCGACCAGGAGCTTTATTTATTTATTGCAAATCTGACACGGTACTTATATCAGAATATGTAAAAAGTTCTCAAAATGCAATAAAAAGGCTGGGTTTCATGGCTCAGCCTGTAATCCCAGCACTTTGGGAGGCCTAGGTGAGTGGATTACCTGAGCCCGCAGGTTCGAGACCAGCCCGGGCAATTTGGCGAGACCTTGTCTTTGCAATAAATAAAAAAATTAGCTGGGCGTGGTAGCATGCACCTGTAGTCCCGGCTACTTGGATGGCTGAGGTGGAAGGATCACCTGAGCCCAGCAGGTTGATGCTGGAGTGGCCATTTGTGTGCCACTGCACTCCAGCCTGGGTGACAGAGTGAGACTCCAACTCGAAAAACAAAACAAAACGCAATAAAAAAAATTAAAATGGCTACTTAAAACCGGGCATGGTGGCTCACACCTGTCATACTAGCACTGTGGGAAGCAGAGGCAAAAGGATTGCCTGAGCCCACGGGTTCAAGACCAGGCTGGGCAACTTGGTGAGACCCTGTCTCTGCAATTTAATCAAAAATGGCAACTTACAGAAAAGATCTGAATATACTTTCCACCGAAGAAGACATTCACATGGCAGAGAAATGCCTGGAAAGCCACCCAACATCCTCAGTCGTCAGGGACACACACACTGAGGCCACCACACGGGCCCACTGCAGAGCTGTCAGGGTGCCCTCCGTCCTGGAGTGGACTTGGCCACACCAAGTGCTGGTGGGCATGGGCGGCTCTGGGCTCACACGTCCTGGGCAAGCACATAAGGGAGTGGTGCTGAGGTTTGGAAAACAGTGTGGCAGTTTCCTCTGAAGTTAACAGCAAACTCCCCATCTCTCCTAGCAAGCCCCAGGTGTTTACCCAGGAGAAATGGAAACTCGCACAAAGGCCGACAGTGAGTGCAGCACAGCGTCATTCATGATTGCCGAGGCCTGGACCAACTCGGCGCCCTTCAGCGGGTGGAGGGAGAAACTGCCACGCAACGGGGCAGGGGCAGCTGCAGGGGGCTGTGTGCTGGGAAGGCATGGCGCAGAGGGCAGGGGCGACATCAGGCCACCTAGTGGTGTGTGCTGACGGGGTGGAGGCAGGGAGGCCAGGCAGGAGGTCCTCTGGCATCCAGGCAAGCAAGGGTGTGGAGGTGATTTGGGTGTACTTTTTTTAGGCGTTGGAGTCTCACTCTGTCACCCAGACTGGAGTGCAGTGGCCGCTCCCGGTCACCGCAGCCTCGACCTGCTGGGCTCCGGCGATCCCTCCGCCTCAGCCTTCCGATAGCTGGAATCACAGGCGCGCGCTACCACACCCGGCTAATTTTTTGATTTATCGTAGAGATGAGGTCTCGCCAAGTTGCCCAGGCGGGTCTCGAACCCGCGGGCTCAGGCAATCCACTCAACTCAGCCTCCCAAAGTGCTGGGATTACAGGCTGAGCCACCGAGCCCGGCTTGGGTGTACTTTCAAGGGGAAGCCAAAGGGTTTACTGACAACTTGCACATTGTGGGGACAAGGAGTTGGGGTGAGGCCGGGGCTCTGTCCTGAGCAGTGGGGCGGGTAGAGAGGCTAAGGACACACTGACCTCCCTAGAATCACGCCGCCCACAAGCCCACTACTGCCCTCCCCATGGGAGGAGCCTGCTAGTCCTGCCTATGCCTGGTGCCTGGGGCTGGAGGCTTGGTCCTGAGAGGAAGGGGCCGGGTTGGCCTCAAGGGGGTTGCTGGGATCCAGCCAGTACAGACCCACAACTCAGGTTGGGAGTGTGGTGGGGACAGGGTGACAGAAAGGAGACGAAGGCCAGGAGTGGATGGGGTGGGGGACAGGTCATGGCCTGGCTGGCCCTGGGTGGGACGCCCCGTGTCTGGCCCCAGTGTCTTGGCCCCTGCCCCAACAGCATCATGGGAGGCAGCAGAAAGAATCGCCTTGTGCCACTGGCGGTCACTTCTCACCCAGTTCCATTCCGCCCTCTCCTCACTGAGTCACTCTCAGCTCAGAGTGTGCAGGCACTGACCTGTCACACAGCACCCTGGAGCACGCAAGGCTCATGACACCCATCCATGTACAGTGGCGCTCTGCATACCATAAACACACACACATGCTTACACAAGCACACTTACACAAGCACACACATGTTCACACACATGCACACCCACACCCACACCCACACATGCACGCTCTCACACACACATGCATGCTCACATTAGGCACATTTCCACACTCACACCCATACACACTCACATAGTTACACATCCACACCACACTCACACATACACACACATGCACATGCACCCATTCACACTCATACACATGTACACACAGTTTCACACTCATACAATGCTCACACATGCTCACACACTCACATTCATACTTGCATGCACCCACACTCCTGCACACGCACAGTCACACATCCACACATGCTCACACAGGCATACATTTTCCCATTCATACGCATGCTCACATACATGCACACTAACACACTCATACACACGTATGCTTACATATTCACACACAGGCATGCACTCACACACAGCTGTAACACACAAGGCTTATGCATGCTCACATGCACTCACATGCATGTTCACACACGTGCTCACATATCCACCCATGCAATATACCCAGATACATACACCCATGCTTGCACACGCACGCTCATATGCTCATGCACACTCACACCTCCACTCAACACGAGGGGGAGTTAGTCTGAGTGCAAGGCTGCCTGGACCCCCATGGACAGCCCCACTGTGGGGTCCTGAGGTCGGCGGGGCTCAGGAGAGCTGGAAGGGCACCCCCCAGCAGGCCTCTGGGCTGCCGCTCGCCCCTCGCCCCCTCTGCCTGGCAGGCTCACCGGTTGACCTCGGACTTGCAGACCAGCTCGAAACTGTACTCCTTGGCCTTGGTGGGTTGGAATAGCACGTCGAGCGTCAGTGTCTCCAGGGGCAGAAGAGTCCCAAACCCGTCATTGGGCTGAATGTCCACAAACTGGAAGTCAGACGGTGCGCACCCTGAGCATGCACCCTGAGGGCCACAGAGATGGTGTGGACCCGTGCGTGGTGGGTGTGGGTGTGAGTCTGTGTGAGCAAGAGTGGGAAAGTGTGAGCAGCTATTTGGAGCGAGCATAAGTGTGGGTGGTGCGAAGTGTGTGTGTGTGAATGTGAACGAGTATGCGAGTGAGCCCGAACGAGCATGAGCGAGCGTGAGCACGTAGGTGAGGGTGTCAGAGTGCGTGTGAAGGAGTGTGTGAGCATGACTGTGAGTGTGTGAGTGCACGTGTGTGAGGATGAGTGTGACCAAGTGTGAGCATGAGCTAGCATGCGTTTGCATGTGCAAGTGTGAGTGTAAGCGTGAGTGTGACCGAGAGAATATGAGTGAGTGTGTGTGTGCGAGTGTGAGTGTGTACGAGGGAGCGTGGCAGTATGTGAGCATGCGTGTGAGTGTGAATATGTGCGAGCATACGTGTAAAGATGAGTGTGAATTAGCGCGAGTGTATTGAGTGCACGTGTGGGAGGTTGTATGTGAACACGAGTGAGTGTGGGTGTGCGCGTGTGAGGATGAGGAGAACGAGTGAGCACATGAGTGAGGGTGTGTGGATGCACGTGTTTGAGGCCGAGTGTGAAGGAGTGTGTGTGTGAGAAGGTGTGAGTGTGTGAATTGACGGTGGGGTTGGTGGTGAGGCAGCCCAGGGAGGTGTGAGAGGCGCCTAGGCCTGTGCAATATACCCAGGCTACTTTGTGGGGCCTGGCAGGGAACGTTCCAGAAGGGAGGGAGGGAGGGAGGCGGAAGGAGGGAGGGAGTGAACCAGGGGCAGCACCAGGGCTGAGCATGGGAGGAGAGTGAGCCGGGGACAGCCCAGCGCTGGCCACGAGAGGCCCAGCCGAGAGGTAGAAGCCCCAAGGCCTGGTGGTGCATAGGGCGGTAGGGCCATCGTGGCCCAGGCATCTGAACGCGGAGCCCCCGCCTGGGGCCTGTCCCCTGGAGGTACCTTGGGAAGGCCCACGAAGCCGAACTCCTGGGGCAGGAGTGAGTGGTTGCACAGGTGAACTTCGGTCCTGATGGCCTCGTAGACCGTGCAGTGCCCAAAGTCCAGCTCTGTGGGGCTGAGCTCCAGGTCCGAGGTGGTGACAATCGCATGCATGGTGAACTTCACCGGCTTGACCTGGAGCCCAGGGCAGACACGACCCCCGGCGCGTGGAGACGCATGCGACGCCCCAGCCTGTCCTGAGGCACTGGCGCTGTGACTCGCCCTGTCAGTACCACCTGCTCCGTGGGCCTGCCTCGAATCTTGAGGACTGGAGACAGTCATGGGGCATCGTGGGGGGGAGGAGTCATGGGGGCGGGGGCTGCGGAGGACCAGTAGGGGTGTGCAATTGCATGTGTGCACACGTGGGTGTGTATGTGCGTGCACCTGGGAGGTGGGGCACTCTTCACCTGTGCATGCGCAGGTCTGGATGCCTGCATGACAGCCTCATGTGGCCTCAGACAGGACCCAGCAGTCTCTATCTGGGCCCCTGTGCAGGGGCCACTGGACCCCACTGGAGGGCAGGTGAGGATGGCTCGGCAGCCGGGGACCCGCCTCCCCAGGGCCCAGCATTCCCTGGAGGCGACCCACACACACCTGGTCGGCCACCCATATGGTCATCGGGGCCTCCAGAACGCGACTCTCCTTGTCAAAATACCTCCCCGCATCCTCTGGGAGGGACTGTCTGAAAGGGCGGGACAATGGAATATGCTTTTCTTCTTCGTAGTTTGCAAAGTGACAGTAAAATCGACCTAGAAGTGGCTTTTAAGTCATGCAAGAGCTATGACAACGTGAGATGCAAGTGCCGTGAGACACGCCTCCCTCCCAACCTCCTGCTCTCACGGGGGGCTTGGGAGAACTTGCACACATGTGGGCTTGTGAGGGTCTGGGACCCGAGCAGGCCTCTTCTGGGAGCAAGGCAAGAGCCCATGACTCTGAGAGCCAACATGTTGCTTAGCAACCGTGTGGCTCATGCCTGCAATCCCAGCACTTCGGGAGGCCGAGGCGGGAGGATCCCTCGAGCCTAGGAGCTTGAGAACAACCTGGGCAACATAGTGAGACCTCATCTCTACAAAAAAATTAACACATGAGCTGGATGTGGTGGCACACGTTTATAGTCCCAGCTACTTGGGAGGCTGAGGTGGGAGGATTGCCTGAGCCCAGGAGATCGACACTGCAGTGAACACCGTGATCACTCTACTGCACTCTAACTTGGGAGACAGAGTGAGACCCTGGCTCAAAAACTCAGAAAAAAAAAAAAAAGAAAGAAAAGAAAAGAAAACTTTAACTTCATTGAGACGGGCAGCTGCCCAGCAAGTCAAGAAAGCCGAAGTGTCAACAAATTGCCCAGCTGTCCCCGGCTCTCCGTGAGGTGGGCACCTGGCAGATTCTGCAGCGCTCTGTCCCCGCGCACTGTGCCCTGTGCCTGGCCAGGCTCCACTGACCGTCCTCTGTCCAGATCTTGGTCCCTGGTGCTAGGGCTGAGGGCAGCCCCGAGGAACCGGCCACAGAGCCCACAAAAGCTGGGCAGGGGTGGTAAACCAGGCCCAGCTGGCAGGACAGACTCCAGGGACAGGCCAGGGAGGCCGAGAGAGCCTTGGATCCTGGAGGTCGGGGGCAGCCAAGTGACGGGGCCGCCAGAGGGAAGGCAGCTTCAGACCGAGGCAAAGGACACATTTCAGGTGTGTGTCCATGCCCAGCACGGAGACACGGTAGAGTCCAGTGAGGCCCACATGGCAGTCAGCAGGAGGTCCAGGCAGTGGCTGGGTCCCATGGTCCTGACCATGGGGGGGGGTTCTCCCTGGCAGAGAGCCATGGGTCTCTGTGTGGGGCGCATGGGATGCTGATGTGGGACCCTGGGATGGAGGAGCCTGGGGCCCGGGGCACCTCGGAGCACCCCTACTGCGCCGCCCGCCTCCCTGGCCCTCGCGGCGCCTACCGGGGCAGGAACTTGAGCTGCACGGAGTAGGACGACTGGGCTTGGATGTAGCCCATCTCGGGCAGGAGCTCCACATGTCCCCTGAGCTCCCGGCACACCTCGAACCTCAGGCGCAGGGCTGCCTTTGACCTGCAGACGTGAGGCCCTCAGGTGCGAGGCCCGGCTCTGCGAGTGCCCCGTCCTTCCAGCTGTTACCGGTGTGTGTGCCCACCCGCTCCAGTCAAGTATGTGCCCCTCGATCGCCAGGGACTCTTCAACCCCTGCTTCACAGGGTGGCTTTTCTAAGTGCAATCTGATGAGGGAATCTTGACAGTAACTGATTGCAATTGCCGGGCACGGTGGCTCACGCCTTTATCCCAGCACTTTGGGAGACGGAGGTGAGAGGATTGCCTGAGACCAGGGGTTCGAGGCCAACCTGGGCAACCTGGTAAGACCTCATTTCTACAACAAATCAAAAGATTAGCCGGGAGTGGTGGCGTGTGCCTATGGTTCCAGCTACTTGGAAGGCTGAAGCAGAATTGCCTGAGCCCAGCAGGTTGAGGCTGTGGCCGTGGCCGTGAGTGTGCCCCTGCACTCCAGCCTGGGCGACAGAGTGAGACTCAAAAAAAAAAAGGAGGAAAATAACTGCATTGCAACTGAGGCACAGCCCTTGTCAGTCCTGGACCCACTCCTACCAGCAGCGCAGGGTGCAGAGGCCTTGGGGATTTGAGGGCAGGAACCCTTCCTCCTCTAGTGCCTCTGCTCTCTCCTGCCCAGGTCTCTGGTCCTGGCCAGTCCCCCACTCCACAGCGCAAGCATAAGGATGTGCAGGAGGCCCGAGGCGGGAGGCCCGGGATGGGAGGCCTCACTGATGACCGCCGTGTCCCACTTAGGACCAGCCGAGGAACCCAAACAGTCCCACGGCCCCCTGGGAGGCCCCACTCTGTCAGCTGCCTCCAGTTCCTGCAGGCCGATAGCTTCCCCCGGTGCAGCCTCCCTCAGGGCCTCCTGATGCTTCCCTGATTCTACCAGAGGCTCCCACTCCCCTGCTGGTCACACGCAGTGGCCTGGCCGAGTCCCTCTCCAGTCACTCTGTGGGGTGGGCTGCTTCCATGCCGGGGGGGCTGGCTGCTGAGCCAAAGGAAGGAAAGGCAGCAGGAAGGCAGGCCCAGGGAGCTGCCCCTGGCCTCCCTGGGAGTCACAGACCATGGTTCCAGAGCCTGCCAGAGCCTCTTGGTAGAATGCTTTGAATGATCCTTGTGGCCACCTTACCCTCTCCCCGCCACATGGCCATAGCCTGAGGGCTGAGTCCATGGGAAACAGATGCCAGAGCTACACTCAGTGACCCCCGAGGGAACAGCCTCCTCTTCAAGGAGGGGCCACAGCCGTGGACGCCCTAGGCGAGCCACTTGAGGCTGTGGGCAGCCTCCTGAGGGAGGGCCCAGTGGCGTGGAAGCAAGACGCCTCTCCCCTCTCTGGTCCTTTGACTTGGTGGCCACCAGCACCTCAGCCACCTTGTCTCCATCCACCACCCTGAGGTGCACTGCAGGCCAGGGTGTGGGCAGGGCTGTCCTTCCGGAGGCTCCAGGGGAGGGGTCCCTTCCTCACCTTGCCAGCTTCTGGCAGCCACGGCATCTGCTCGCGGTCCTCTCCTCCGTCTCCAAAACCAGGGTTTTAGTGTTTGCAAATCTGCTCTGACCCCCCTGCCTCCCCACGATGACGGCTGGAATGACACTGGAACCTCCTGCGCCACCCAGGGCCACCTCCCCCTCAAGGTCCTCAGCCCAACTGCACCTGCCAAGCCCCCTTTGCCACACAGGTAGACACTCAGGGCCTGGCGGAGGCCTGGCAGCCTTCCTGCACATGCCGTCACCGGCCACGGGAGGCTCACCGCGTGTGGACGAGCACGGAGTCCTGGTAGAGCCGGTCATACATGCAGATCTTCAGGTCCACGTTGGGTCTCAGCACCCACACAGGCACATCCATGGCCACGCCGGTGACACTGAAATACAGCTGCACACAGACGCGGAACTCAGCACACATGCCTCTCAGCCAGGCCGCGGGCAGCACGTGTTCATACGACCTAGGGCAGCCTGGCTGGCTGACACCCCCCTCACGGGAGCGGGAAGTTGATGAAACAAGCCACGTGTTGGAGTTTTGTGGCGCTTTTCACATCACATCATTAAAAGCTTTAGCCGGGCTCGGTGGCTCAACCTGTAATCCCGCGCCTTGGGAGGCTGAGGTGGGTGCATTGCCTGAGCCCGCGGGTTCGAGACCCGCCTGGGCAACTTGGCGAGACCTCATCTCTACAATAAATTAAAAAAAACTAGCCAGGCAAGGTAGTGCGCACCTGTGGTTCCAGCTACGTGGAAGGCTGAGGTGGAAGGATCGCCGGAGCCCAGCAGGTCGAGGCTGCGGTGGCCGGGAGCGGCCACTGCACTCCAGTCTGGGCGACAGAGTGAGACTCCAACCCCCCTCCCAAAAAAAAGAAAGAAAATTTTCCACATTCCCTGTCTCCTGACTGGTGGGCTAGAAGGGAATCGCCCTTCCCAAGAAGGGTCCTCAGCTCACCCCTCAGCCCCTGGACTGTGCCCACTGGACTGGACTCTGTCCCGGCCACTGCAGCCTCGACCTGCTGGGCTCCGGCGATCCTTCCACCTCAGCCTCCCAAGTAGCCGGAATTACAGGCGCGTGCTACCTCGTCTGGCTAATTTTTTATTTATTGTAGAGATGAGGTCTCACCAAGTTGCCCAGGCGGGTCTCGAACCCGCAAACTCAGGCAATCCACTCACCTCAGCCTCTCAAGATGCGGGATTACAGGCTGAGCCACCGAGCCCGGCTTAAAATTTTCTATTTTTGAGTTGGAGTTTCTCTCCGTCGCCCAGGCTGGAGTTCAGTGGCACGCTCACGGCCACCCCAGTGTCGACCTGTTGGGCTCAGGCAGTCCTTCTGCCTCAGCCTTCCATGTAGCCGGAACTACAGGCGTGCGCTACAACACCTGGCTAATTTTTTGATTTATTGTAGAGATGAGCTCTCACCAAGTTACCTAAGCTGGTCTTGAACCCGTGGGCTCAGGCAATCCATTTGCCTCAGCCTCCCAAAGTGCTGGGATAACAGGCTTGAGCCACCATGCCCGACTGAGAATTTTAAAATGTAAAACATTGTCTCCTGGGCCGCCTGCCACCTCCTGGCTCTGTCCTTGTCCCTGCCTGCTCATGGTCACAGGCTGTGCTGTGTGTGCACAGACACTGGCAGGTCACTGGAGCAGTCCCCATGCTCCATCAAGTGGCTGAGCCGGTCGTCCTGGTGCTGCCGGGTCCCCAAGCCGGGGTCAGCTGCTTGTAGACACGCCGTTTCCGGGACAGAGGGCCCGTGGAATATGACACTCAGGGCGTTCTGGCTGCAGATCCGAGGCCCCAGGGTTTCGAAAACAACCTACCTCTGGGCTGGAGACCGGGCAGAGGAGGCCTCTGGGGGATGATTCAGAAGAAGCAGGGGGGGCTGTGAGCAGCCTGCCGACCTGCCCATACGTGTTAGAGTGCGCGGCACAGCGTGTGACCATGAGCAGGCAAGGATGAGGACACAGCTGGGATGGCCCATGGACACGCTAGGGAGTGCCTCATCCAGGAGGCATGTGAGGTTGGTGGCAGAGGCCTCATCCACAGAAGTTCATGACCAGATGGAGGTGCGTCCAGCACGTCCCTTCGAGCCCATGGAGCATGGGCCAGCCTGCACCGTCTGCCCTCAGGAGGACACAGCATGGACGGGGCTGGGACCTCTGCCCCGGGCTGACAGCTGGGCCCTTAAGGAAAGGTCGGGGGAGGGGAACGGGCAGTCAGGCCAGGGTATCAACCGCAGAGTTGCCTGTGGGTCCCAGGCAGGCCTTGCTGGCCCCGGACTCACTCTCCAAGGCCTCCTGGGCACCAAGTCCTGGTCCTTGGGCCTGCACCGCCCCTAGGAGGGAAGAGGGAGACTCTCGGGTGATGTGGGGTGGTGTGGAGGGTGTGGGGGTGTCAGGGAGTGTGGGCGTGTGTGGGGGTGTGGGGCCCTGTGGGGTCATGGGG